TATTATATATATAAATTATAATAAATTTTATATATAATTTATATATAATTTATATATATAAAAATTAACTTTTCCGTCCTGAAAACGAAAGAAATAAACTCTGCGAGTAATCATCTCAGATTGTTCTCGCGACAACGCTCGTGATGGAGATCCAACTCTCCTGCGAAGACTCCTCCGAGGATCCGATTGACACCTACGTGGTGACCGCGAGCGCTATGCTGGTGGTCGTCAAACTCGTCTTTTTGCGGACGCAACGATCCAATCTCTCCGTCAACATATCTCACGTCATTCGGGACTGGTGCGGCGTCGATAACGCGAGATCGCGCGAGATCATGATCCGGTACGCGCGCATGGCGAGAACGATATCTCTGTCGCTGTTTTATTCCGGTTTCTTCGCCTTCACGTTGTACATGCTGCGACTTCTGCCCGTTCTGAACGCCAACGAGAGACCGTCCTACCTGCCCACGTCCTGCGTCTTCGAGTCCGTTTCCAATCTGCAATATGCGCTCGTCACGTTGTACCAGGTGATTCAGTTGTTCATTGCTTACGCCGGAAATTGTTGCACGGAGGGAATGTTCGTCGGTGTCACGCTCCATCTGTGCGGACAGCTCGAACTGTTGATGATCGGTTTTCGGCAAATCGATCGGCGCAGGCACGAGAAAACCAGCCTCGTCGAGGACCTCGTTGTCAGACATCGAGAACTGTTAGGACTCGCGGAAACGATCGAGGACACCTACAACATAATTATTTTGACTCAAATCTTCACTAGCGCCATTCTGATATGCGTGACAGGTGAGTTGACGATTAATTTGTTTGTACACAATATTATTCCGTACGTAGAGAAAAATGTGTTGATTAATATATTTAAAAATTTATTTCGAGATAATTTTTATTATTTACAAGAGAATTATCTCTGTTGTTCGACGTGTCGCAGTTTTAACTCGCGTTTAAGTCAAACTCAAGTCAGAAATGTTTTTACTCGTTTACTGAAACGTCTAGTTTGCGTCCTGCGAATGAGAAAGATTAATTCAGATAAGAAAATATATATTGATTAAAAGGCTTCGGACTCATCGAGTCATTGCACATTCACGACACAGTCATGACGGTGAAGAGCGTTGTGGTGATGATCGTCATGCTGCTGCAATCCTTCTTGTATTCGTACGCGGGCGACAACCTGAGAGATCAGAGCGAGGCGCTGTCCTTCGCCGTTTACGACAGCAACTGGTGCGACTTCCCGCCCAACGAGATAAGAGATCTGACATTTATCATGATAAAGACGAACGCGCCTATTCGACTTACCGCCGGAAAGTTTTTCTATGTCACGCGTGCTACTTTTACAGATATTCTGAAAACCGCGGTGTCTTACCTGTCCGCGTTGCGAGTTATGATCGAGAAACAACGAACGGAAACTTAGCACAGTCGCAATATGATTATATTCTTCAAAGAAAGTACTTATAGAAGTCACAAAATCCTCTTTTGCGTACAAGGAAACTAATTGTATGATGTAAAATTGTTTCAAATAAGAATTAATCAATGAATCGCAAAAATAAAACGCTAATTAACTGTTTTATTACGTGAGAGTAAATTAAAAAATTCATAATATCTAATAAGATTTACAAAAACATTATATACAAAAATATCAATTGATTAGAACAATCAATATTAAATTGAGGATCTCCTCAGGCTCATGAAGTTTATTAAACTTAATAAATGAATAAATAATTAGTCTTAAAGAGCCGTTCGCAGGATGTTGGGCGGAAAATATGTCTTATATGTGTGTACACATATATAAGTAAATTCACGTTTTTCCACGTGTGTTTTTCGAATTGAAATTTCAATTCTTAAATTCATATAGGATGCTAGTTTTGCATCTTATATATAATAGACCCCGAATACCCCCTCCTTCTAATTGATTTAAAATATTGCGAAAAAATTTCAATTTGAAAAACACACGTGAAAAACGTGAATTTACTTATATATGTGTACACACATATAAGACATATTTTCCGCACAACATCCTGCAAACGGCTCTTTAAGACTAATTATTTATTCATTTATTCGATTGATTAGATTTCATAAATTAAAAGTATTTTTTAAGTTAAAAAACAAAACTAAGAAAATGTTAAATTAATGTAAATTCAATTATATGTAATTGTAATGTGCTATTAATTTAATTACAATTTTTAGATTAAATTTAAAAAAGTAAGAAAATAAAAATATAAAGATAACAAACTTAAGGTGTAAAAGTCAACTAAATTAAAAGTAATTAATTTTACATGGTTATTTTTTCGACTTGGAAGAATTTTTCAGAATGTCTTTCAGTGATATATAGTTTTTGCTTACTAGAGTGATTCTTGTTAGGAAATGACAACTTTGTGATCTACGACATATACGAAAATGAAAGTAAGTGTATTTTTTATGCATAATTCTCATTATACTTATCACACGTGTGATCAATTACAGTGTCGATCGAAAAATTGTATCCGACTTGAACCGTGCGCAATCGTGTTTCTCTTGTCGTATCCAATTGAGATTGTGATCGATTGACGCAACACTCTGCCGTGTTCGTTTTTATTTTGTGCGTGCGTCTGGGTTCTCCCCAACACACACGCGTACGCGTTCGGTTGCGTTCGGTTTCGTGCAGTTTTATCAAGAAACTGTACGCGAAGTACCGTGCGTCATTACAAGGAAACATCGCGACATAAATTCTTCAGAAGCAATAAGAACTTCGTAAAAACTCAAATACCGTGTATTTCGGTGATAATGCGATAACAACATAAAGAGAGTTAAAAGACGCGAGAGATGATAAGCGGGTATAAGATATCTCGAGTTTTCCGCTCGGTTGAATAAAAAATAATTCGCGAACTGTCAACGTTTCTGTCAATGTTCGGAGCGTCTTCTCGTCGTCGGCATCGCTTACATCGTCATTACATCGATCCGATGGCGAGTAAAGAATGGAATGATGACATTGCATACGCGATGAATCATGTAAAATGGATGACGTGGCCGGTAGGTTTCTGGCCGCTACAGGTTTACGATACGTTTTCGCTAATACGATGCATTTGGTCTATTGTGGCCTCGGTACGTATATATTTTCTTGGGTTACAACTTGTTGCTGAGTCACACGCGCGATGAGTTCGCAACAAGTTCGCTGATAAAACAATTTCCGAGCGGACAGAGTGTGCGATATTGTTTACGATATCTACTATTCACATTTGCGGATATAAATTTTTTACATAAAAAATTATTTAATATATACATGTTAATAATAATTTCGACAGAGATCTCTGTCGCGAAACAATAAAATTTACTTCACGAAAAAAAAAACACTACGTTTTTCGTATTAACATAATTCATCACATCAACAGGCTTTAATGTCGATATTGCCTACGCTTGAAATTTACTTCGGCTGCACCAACCCGGAGAAGAACACAGACTGCATCATGTTTATTTCCGCCGGAATTATGGGAGTGGCGAAGAACACGTGTTTTCGAATTTACTTAAAGAACTTGACGAGCAACTACGTCTCCGTCGTGAAAGATTATCAAACCGTCAAAGATCCGAGCGATTTGTCCGTTATGAAAAAACACACTCACCTAGGAAGACTTTTGTTCTATTTTATGACTACGTTCTCATTTCCGAGCTGCATGTTGTACATATTGATTCCCTTAATGATTAACAGAGAATATCTGAATACCGTGACCAACAGAACCATGCTGATATATCCGGTTCCGGCGGAGTGCGGTATGGATCATCTCTATCCTTCGAGAATCATGTACAAAATTCTTTACTTCTTCGTTGGTTTCGCGCTACTTTCTTCGAATCAGGCGAATATCGGTAATAGTTCTATTTTTTGACTGTAAGATAAATGTTCCAGCATCCGAACAATAATGCAAATTTCTCAGTCATATTTTGTGTATCTTAATTTTTAATATAATTAAGAACAAACATTTTTATCGTAAAGTATAAAAATTTATCAACATTAAGTGAAATAATGATTACATAACATTGAAAGTTATTACACCGAAAAAATTGTATTCTTGTTTTGAGGATATCCCACTTACTTTAAGTATATTTTATAATTATTTATATATTTACTAAAATAGGCGCTAAGAAGAGTTTCTTATTTTAAGAGGAAAATCCTCTAAATAGTAATATTGATAAGAATATATATTGATTAGAATATAAAAAGCCTCTATAGAAAAACATATATATCTCACTATCGAAAAAGACTATATTCTTAAATTAAAAATATATTCTTAAATAAAGAATATATTCTTAATTTCAGAAGAATATCATCTAAAATCTTTAAGAAGATTTTTTAAGTATAAAATCTTCTACTTACGAGAATATAATTTTTTCGGTGTAGTTATAAATGCATTTTAAATTGTCCGCTTACTGGGACATTTGCGCATTTTCGTATTTTTATTAAAATAAATACATCTAATTCAGAAAGTTATTAATAAGTTTGTTGTTTCAGTTTTCAATAATTGATCGCGTCAACTCGTGATAAAATAAAAATTGTTTACATTTTATGATACTTTTATACACATTAAATCAGTAGATATTTCGCCGCTATTCCGAATACCGGGACATTTTACTTTACGATAATGCATTACTCGTTGATAAATTGCTATCAATAGTCGGCTTCTTGATTTATGTAATATGTACATATATTTATGATAAATATTATGTGATAAACTATATAGCTTTTTGTTTTTTTTTTTTTTTTTTTTACAAAGGCATCGACGTTATGTTTCTCGGTACAGCGTTGCATCTTTGCGGCCAGATGAAGATTCTGAATTCCAAATTCGCCGATTGCTTCGTTGGAAAATCGCACAACCACGATAGCTTCAATACACTAGTCGAGAGACACATCTACTTAATAAACAGAGCCAAAGAACTCATCGAGACGGTCAATTTCTTCTTGCTGGTGAAATTGTTTATTATGAGTATTCTTTTGTGCATAATGGGTAAATATATCTTCGTATACATCGCGCGTATATATCGCAGTTTTGTAAAACCTGACAAAAGTGTCGACGTGTTCTACGCAAGTGCAAAATCTTTCAGGATTTCAGTGCATCTTAGCGCTGCAAGTGAACAACTATATAATAGTGTGGAAAAGTTTGATGGTGCTGTGTTCCTTTCTGACGCAACTCACGCTTTATTGTTTCACCGGGGAATATCTTAAATCCCAGATGGAAAAAGTAGCGACTTCTATTTACCAAAGCGTGTGGTACGAATTTCCTGAACAAGTGAAGAAGAGCATAATCTTCGTCATTATGAGAAGAGAATCTTCCGTCTCGTTGCAAGCTGGAAATTTTATTTTCGTCAATCTGGAGACTTACATGAGCATTCTGAAGACCTCTCTTTCGTACATATCCGTACTACGCGTAATGATGGAGCCGTAAAATTGAATTAAAAAAAACAATAAAAAAACACAGAACATTTATATATTACATACAAACTATATAAATCGACAAGACTTAATATTTGCACACAAATAATTAAGTAAATATATATTATAATACTCTGAACTCTAGAAATAAACCTGTCTGTGCGGTATGTACAGTTCGTGTGCATACCTTCTCTTATCAGTTTGACAGTCTTGATAAATTTTATCTACACACAATCCACTTATCTATTTTACGTATTTTCTCTCTTAAATAGTTTCAATTTTATTCTATTTGTTTAATTTGGTAATCAAAACAATTGTTAAAACAATTGTTTTAAAATGGATATATTGATGATAAATTAAAATAAATAAATTCATAGTTGCGATACTTCAAATTAATTTAATAATAACAAGTAAAATGGAGAAAACTTGTATATTTAATATTAATTACAACTTACAATTAGTTGGAGCGCGTAGCATTTCGTTTATCTTTATCGTATGGCGCGGACTCGGAGCTTCTCTCTCGCTTCTCAGTTGTACGTCTTAAGATCGACTCTGTTTTCGAATGTATCGATTGATTCGTCCGATAATCGATAAATATCTTAGAGGGAGAGACAACAGAAAATATTCGTCACCTCGAGTCGCGCCATCGTACAAACTCGCTATGAAAGTTATTATCGGCCGTTGAATTCGAAAGTTAGAGTAACAGAAAATATACAATATAATTTACTCTCTTACACAACAATGTAAAAGTACCTAATTATACTCACTCGTAGATAGTTACAAATTATGTTAATTTTTGTTTGCGATAGTATGTCAACTGATAAAAATTGTCAACGGACAAACGTACAAACGCGCAAAGAAAAATACATTCAGGTACGGTGACGACAAATATTTCTTTATACAAAACGAAGAAATGGAGCATGACAAAAAACGTTGTAGACTAGAACATTTGTAACACAAATGTTTTGAGTCACAATTTTGCATAAAAGTTTAGTTCCATGTATTTACCATAATACAAGTGTGTGTTGCAGCTTACGGAGGCGACTGATAAGCGGGTATAGGTTTCGAGTGAATAAGAAATGATTTGGAATATATGCATATCTGTTACACGTTGTTGCACATATATTCTGTCGGCGCGTACGGACCGCATCATCGGCTAAATGGATCGGTTATGGTCATTACATCGACCACCACCACCACATGGCGAGCGAACGATGGAAGGACGATATCGCATACGCGATGAACTACGTCAAATTGATATCGTGGCCGATCGGCGTTTGGCCGCTTCAAGTTTATAACAATTTTTCGATAATACGATGTCTCTGGGGTATTTTTTCCGCGGTACGCATTTCTTCAGTTCGATACCGTTGCTCATTCATGTTCGATCGTTCGAGGATGTAGGTAAAACTTTTGCGTATAAACGACATTGTGCGCGTCCAGATAAAAACTTCGTTATCTCGAGATGAAAAATACCGAAGTATCTAATCTTTGTGACGTCCGATAGGGTCGCTTTGCTGTTGAATACATAAAACTTTGTTTTTTTTTTTCAACCGTAGTAACGTCTGAACGTAGAAATGTCTAATGTAAAATAATAATTCAATCAACAAAATTTTTGTTAAATCAAATGTAATAAAGTAACAATAAAACCGCTCGAGGTAATAACAAATTAAAATTTAAAAACACAATTATACAAGGTCTGTATCGAGCTCAAATGGTTCTTATTAGAGCTCCATTATTCTTATTCAATTTTGTTAAATTGTTATAAACTTATCGATAAGCGTAAAACAGCTTTTTCTCGGATTATTTATGCATTTGTTGACGGGTTTTATTCTCAGGACACAATTGACTATATATTTTATATTGATAGTCGCGCATGTGATCGGTAGATGTTATTTAAATAAATTTCTAGAAAATGTTTTAGCACATGCGCGTGTAATGATCACGAATATGTAATGATCCTGTCGAATTGTTACAACGGTTAGCTTTTTTTTTTCTTTTTTTTAAGAGGGGAAATGTCCGCGCACGCCCTGATCCCTTGGGGAGGACCAGGGTAGTGTGGGACTCGAACCCGCTAAAACCCCTCTATGGTCCTCAAGCACGCTATGAGGGAGAGCCTGGAAAGCCAAAGAGGCTATTACTTCCCGACTCGCAACGGTTAGCTAAAAAAAATTTATTAATTACATTTAACACAGAGTACGATGGTGTTGTTATGTTCGACCGAGATGTTATTGGGCTGCACCGTCACGGAGAAAAACATAGAATGTCTCATGCTTATCTGCTGCGGAACTCTCGGCGTGACCAAGACGATACTGTTTCGCATTTACGCGAAGAACTTGACGGATAATTACAGCTCCGCCGTGAACGACTACAAGACGATCAAAAATCCGAGAGATTATTTCATCATGCGAAGACACACTTACATAGGGAAATTACTGTTCTGTTGTTTGCTGGGCTCGTCTTACTTCAGCTGTTTCATAATTGCAGCAATTCCTGTTTTGGGCGGCGTCAAAACCGATCAGAATGTCACCAACGAGACCGTATTTGAGTACATTGTACCTTCGACTTGCGCTCTGGAATATTTTCGGATTCCGACAAGCATGCGCACAATCGTTCTTATTGTCCAAACGCTTGCGTTATTTACAACGTGCAACACTTATATGGGTAACGCTGTTTTTTGTTTTTATTTTTTACAGCTCGTTTCTCCAGCTGATCAATGTTATATTTATTCCCGTGATTTTTTTTTCGCGTGTGCAGCTATTTTATTGCCGTGTTTTCATCAAGAGTTTTACTCTCATTGTTTAATAATAACGCGTCAATGTATTTTTGTATTCTTTTTGGTATTTTTTATTTGTGATTGTTTTTTTCTTTGCAAAGGTAACGACACCTTATTCCTCAGTATAGTATTGCATCTTTGCGGCCAGATAAAGATTCTAAATCGCAAATATGTCGATCTTGATGGCACAAGTTCGCACGATCGATTGATCGCGTTAATTAAAAGGCACATCTACCTGATACGTAAGGCGAACAAACTTTCCGAGACTATCAATATCGCCTTGCTGATGCAATTGTTTCTTCTGAGCATAATCTTGTGTATATTGGGTAAGTCGTGACAGTTTGTTTTTTTTGTCGCAAAATGTTTCGCAAAAATCTTGCGCGTTTCAAAAATCAACTGTTTTTTTTTTTTCAGGATTTCAACTTATTCTTGCGATAAAATTAAACAACGTTATTGTAATAGGAAAAAGTTTGATAATGATTTTCGCCTTCGTTGCGCAATTAAGTCTGTACAGTTTTATCGGTGATTATCTGATCTCGCAGATGGAAGAAATAGCACTTTCCGTTTATCAAAGCGCTTGGTACAAGTTGTCGGAGAATACGAAGAGAAACGTGATATTTGTCATAATGCGACGAGAATTTCCCGTTGCGTTGAAAGCCGGAAATTTCATTATGGTAAATCTGTCGACGTATATGAACATCTTGAAGACGTCTCTTTCGTATCTGTCTGTACTTCGCGTAATGATAGAAACGTAAGAGCGCAAATACAGACGCAAAAAATTCCAGAGATTCTGCAAACTACTATAATAACGACAAAAAGTAATGTCTTTGTACACCGATGATATCTTGTTCATACAGATGTATCTTCATCTTCGTATCGATATCGAAAGTCACCAGATGTTCCGAGTTAGTTCATTTCTCTGGATAATTAAAATATAAAGAACCAAAAGAGAAAGAGTTTGATTCAAAATATCTTGTGACCGCCGATATCTGAAGAGATGTACGAACATCGATGTGCGCACACAAACGATAAATAATCGAATATGAGAATAAAATATTGTACCGTGTGTGAAAGCAAGATTTTACACAAAGTGTCTAAATTTTTTTTTATCAAAGCAAAAAAGTAGGTGGATCAGGTTAATTAAAACAAAAAAGTCACGTGCTATTTTTTTAAATTCGCAATATTTATTAAACGTTAATTAATTAAAGAAACTTTCAGGCTCTCCAAATTCTAATAAGAAAATTACAAAATGAAGTCATACGAGCCGCTTTTGCAGGATGTTATGCAGAAATATATAATATATATAGTTTTTTTCGCAATATTTTAAAAATTAGTTGGGGGGGAATTCGGAGTCTATCATATATGTGATGCAAAAATAGCATCCTATATGAATTTAAGAATTGTATTTTCAATTCAAAAATTTCACTTGTAATTTACACGTGGTTACATATATACACCGCGAAAAAATTTATATTCTCGTAAGTAGATTTTATACTTAAAAAATCTTCTTAAAGATTTTAGATGACATTCTTCTGAAATTAAGAATATATTCTTAATTTAAGAATATAGTCTTTTTCGATAGTGAGATATATATGTTTTTCTATAGAGGCTTTTTATATTCTAATCAGTATATATTCTTATCAATATCACTATTTAGAAGATTTTCTTCTTAAAATAAGAAACTCTTCTTGGCGCCTATTTTAGTATAAAATATACTTAAAGTAAGTAGGATATCCTCAAAACAAGAATACAATTTTTTTGATGTACATATACATATGTGTATACATATATATATACTACATATATATATTTCTACTTACTACATATATATATTTCTGCATAACATCCTGCAAAAGCGGCTCGTATGACTTCATTCTGTAATTTTCTTATTAGTTAAATAATTAATATGAGAGCGAATGAGCGCGTGGAAAGCGACGGATTCTATGTGTGAAATCATGTGATGTTTAAAAAATCAATATCAGCTGATAACGGGAAGGCGTGTGCCGCACGTCGCTCGCTGAGTTATTCCGCCTCTCGTTTCTCTTTTGAAGGATTGAAAATCACATGATTCTGTCACACGTCCACGAGGAGTTTCAACCGATGGCTTTCTTTTTATACGCGCTCGAATTAATTAATATTTTAATAACCGTTGCAACTTTTTGCAAAATCACACACGACTCTTTTCTGTTTGGATCCACCTTTACACTTATGTCACAAAGTTTCAGACCTTGTACATAAAGTTACGTTGACAATATCTTGTCAGTTTAGATTTCAAAGTATAAATACGTTAACAACACTTACATATATAAAACCACGTACCTATAATATATTCTTCACTTTTGAACAATGTGTTCTTTAATACTTTTTTTACTTAAAAATGTGACGTCTCAAGACACTGTTGAAACGAAATAAAAAACGACAACTCTGGCGTTGAGAGAAAGAAAAACGGTTAGGTTTTCTAATCTAATCAACGAAATTTGCGTGCGAAGAAGAACAAGAGATAGATCACGAAGCGGCAATTTTCGAACTGGAACGTCGGATATTTTGCACGTTACCCGAAATTTAATTCCGCGTAACAGCTTTAGTTCGCGACGGTTTAGAAACAACGCTTCAATATTGTACTATCGAGCGTGATGATAAGCGGGTATATAAGTTTTCGAACTGAATAAGGGATGATTCGGAAATGCACAAATGATACGTCGATACACGTCGATTTGCACATTACGCAATCGACATGCCGAGCGAATCATCATTCGCTATCGGAAATCAGTCAAAGTCATTACGTCGATCATCATGGCAAGTAAACGATGGAACAGCGACATTGCATACGCGATGAACCACGTTAAACTGTTAGCGTGGCCGATCGGTGTCTGGCCGCTTCAAGTTTATAACGTGTTTTCGTTGATACGATGCACATGGGCTACTTTTTCCACGGTAGGCATTTTTTCGCAGTTCTTGATCTTGTTCGCTCGTTCACATTCGATCGTTCGAGAAAGCAGATAAAATAACTTTCACGCGAACGATGTTGCGCTCGCGACGCTAAAAAGTTTCAATATCGCACGAATATCAAGTGTCAAAATTGCATATTGGTAGATGCATTTTGTTAAATATTAATTATTAGTTTCTTGGAAGTAATAATATTCAGCGAAATTCAGTTAAATTCACGAAATCGTGTAACAAGTCAGTAAAAAACTTATTGCAATAACAAACACGCTTTTTCCGTCAAATCAACTGTGCAATTTGTCAATGATAGGGTAAAAGACTCAATTACCGTCACCTGAATAATAAACTCTGGCGTTGGCGAATTGTTTTTACTATTTATTTATCAAAAACATGTGTTTTCCTTCTTATCTGGTATTATTCGATGTCTCTAATATAAGGAACAAAATAATACCGTCTCTCAAAATCTCTATTTTTTTATTTATAAATTTAATAATTAAAAAAGAACGATGCGAAGGCTATTACTGTCACCCCTAAAATGAAAGAAATGAGACAAGAATGTTGAGTGCTGGATTTTTCATTATATCAATTGCACTTAAAATTCTATGTTAGATTTTTTTTTTCATGCATAACTTTTTAGAATTTATTTAATATTTTAAATAAAATAGCTTAGGGTGACAGTAATTGGGCAGGTGACAGTAATTGGGTCTTTTACCCTATCCATGCGCACAGCCTAACTTAAACACACGTGATATGGTAGTATAAACAAAAGTGATTCTATTATAGATATTATTTAAAATACTCTCTCTCTCTCTCTCTCTCTCTCTCTCTTTCCGCAAAATACAAGTAACAATATGCTGAAAAAGATACGTCGATATTGCACACAATAGAAGTTTACCGAATAGAAGTGTAGCATACTTATATACAGGTGTTAACACAGACTTCACTAGTGTTGTTACCTCTCATCGAGATTTCCTTGGGCTGCACCGACACGGAGAAGAATATGGATCATTTCATGCTCATCTGCTGCGGAATTCTCGGCATAGTAAAGACGTTATCATTTCGCATTTACGCGAAGAACTTGATCGAGAATTACAACTCGGCCGTGACCGATTATCAGACTATCACAAATCCAAGAGATTATTCCATCATGCCAAAACATACTTACATCGGAAGATTATTGTTTTGTTCGTTGATGGGCTTCACTTACTTCAGCTGTCTCATGATGTCGGTGACTCCGTTTCTTGGTGGCGACAAGGATAATCAGAATGACATCGATAACGAGACCATGTTGGAATACACGTTACCTTCAGCTTGCGCATTGGAATATTTTCACACTCCGCAAAACATGCACACAATTATCTGTCTTTTCCAGACGATCGTGTTATTTACATCGTCTCACACCAACATGGGTAATATTTAGTTTTACTTCTGTGTTGTTTTTTTTTTTTTTTTTTTTTGTATGCTTGGTAATTTTATACATCGTTTTTATGCGTAAAATAAGGAATGTTCCAATAAAAAAAAAAAAAAANAAATTGTAATGCACGCTATATTTTATTTCTCTTGTTTTCATTTTTTTACTAATTATACTTTTACTAATTATACTTTTTGCAAAGGTAAAACGATTCTTTGATTCTCAACATAACGTTGCATCTTTGCGGTCAGATAAAGATTCTGAACGCCAAATTTGTCGATTTTGACGACACGCACGACTACGATCGATTGAACACATTAATTAAAAGGCATATCTACTTGATACGCAAGGCCAAGAAACTTTCCGAAGCTGCCAATTTTGTATTTCTGACGCAATTGTCTCTCATAAGTATTATCCTATGCGTAATGGGTAAGTATTTATTATTGCATACATATATATATGTTTTGTAAAAAAAAAAAAAAATATATAAAAAGCTTACGGAAATGATTTCAGGATTTCAACTTATTCTCGCGATAAAAATGAACGACGTTGTTATAATAGGAAAGAGCTTAATGATACAGTGCGCCTTTTTATTCCAATTGTCTCTGTACAGTTTTATCGGCGACTACTTGATCTCGCAGATGGAAGAAATAGCAACTTCCGTTTATTAAAGCACTTGGTACACGTTTTCAAACCATTTGAAAAGAAACATCATCTTCGTTATGATGCGAATAAAATTTCCGGTCGCGTTTCAAGCTGGAAATTTCATCACGGTAAATCTGTCGACGTACATGAACATCTTGAAAACGTCTCTTTCTTATCTGTCTGTACTTCGTGTAATGCTGGATACGTAAGAAGCGAAATAAATCACGAACACAAAAACGATTAAAAGGATTTCACAAAGTATAATATCGATATACCGAAAAAATTGTATTCTTGTTTTGAGGATATCCCACTTACTTTAAGTATATTTTATACTAAAATAGACGCCAAGAAGAGTTTCTTATTTTAAGAGGAAAATCCTCTAAATAGTAATATTGATAAGAATATATACTGATTAGAATATATACTGATGGAATATATACTAATTAGATTTATATATAAATAATCAGTACGTAATCTATATATCTTTTGCATTAATAACGATATTTTGTAAGATTTTTTAAATAATTTTATTTTTATTACATTTTAAAGTGTCTCGTACATATTACCTATGTTTAATTTTTTATTTTTAATGATCATAATCTATATCTATATTTATATTCTTTTTAATTATTATTTTTATAATAAAATATAAACTAATACAGTATAATAATAATTATAACACTTATATTATTTTTAATTATTAAAAAAAAACAAAAAAAAACATATATCTCACTATCGAAGAAGACTATATTCTTAAATTAAGAATATATTCTTAAATAAAGAATATATTCTTAAATAAAGAATATATTCTTAAATAAAAAATATATTCTTAATTTCAGAAGAATATCATCTAAAATCTTTAAGAAGATTTTTTAAGTATAAAATCTTCTACTTACGAGAATATAATTTTTTCAGTGTAGTATCGATCGAAGTAACATTTGTATACACAAACATAATAACTAGTCGAACAGTAGTAGTTACAGTATAGTGAAAAAACTTTCTATGCTTCAAAAGCGACGGCGATAATATATTAGTTAAATATTAGTTAAATATTTTTAATATTTCATTACAGTTCACATTTCAGGCAAATTATAGAAATAACACTTACCATTCTTCCTCGCACGTGTAAATCATATATTTATTATTACATTCTCACTGGTAAACATACTTTAATACTTTTTACTCGAAACAATGTCAGAATTGTTGAAATGAGATAAAAGCAGCTCGCGCGTTGCGAGAGAAATAGTTTTCTCTGACAACGAAATGTTTGCGGAAGAAAAAGGAATATAGATCGCGAGAAGCGTCGATTTTCAAACCGGAATATTCTCGTCGGGAAATTCTTACCTATAATTTTGCATAAAAAAGTTAGTTTCGTGAGTTTTTGGATAATGCTTTAACAATGTGCTATCGGAGAAGCTTATGAGAGGGTATAAGTTATGGAAAATGATTCACGGAATACACGCAGCACGCAGCGTCGATATATGTCGCTTTGTATTTGTATTATGCCGACATACGGATCGTATCGTCTGCTATTGAACTCATTACATCGACCCGCCAAACTATGACGAGCGAACAACGATGGAACAACGATATCGCGTACGCGATGATCCACGTCAAATTGATAGCGTGGACGATCGGTGTTTGGCCGCTTCAAGTTTATGACATCTTTTCGCTAATACGATGCGCCTGGGGTATATTTTCCGCGGTAGGCATTTTTTCTCAGTTCGCTCATTCACATTCGATCGTTCAAAGAAATAGAAGAGAAAAACAAGTTCTATGCGCGTAAAGATACACGATATCGCGCATCCGACTAAAAATCCATAAAATACCAAACTCTGAATTGCTTGTTTCTATTTTTTTTGCTTATGCAAGTAACAGTTTAGTATTGTTCAAATGTCAAATAATTTTCTACATACATTGTGTGTTTTTACCGCACAAAAAAATAAAATGTCGTGTGTCGCACAATGAAAAGTTATACGCCACAAAAGCGCGTTGCTTGTATATTGACAGGCTCTGATGGTGTTTTTACCTTCTGTCGAAATTTATCTGGGCTGCACCGACGCGGAAAAAAACACGGACTGTCTCATGCTTATCTGCTGCGGGATTCTCGGTGTGATCAAAATAACGTCTTTTCGCATTTACGCGAATAATTTGACGAACAATTACTGCTCCGCGGTGAACGACTATCAAACCGTCAAACATCCGAGATATTATTCCATCATGCGAAAACACACTTACGTAGGAAAATTGCTGTGTTGCTCCATGATGAGCTTCTCTTACTTCAGCTGTTTCATGTACGCGTTAATTCCGTTCTTGGGTGGCGACAGATTTAATCAGAGTGTCGCAACGAACGAGACCGCGTTGGAATATACGTTGCCATCAGCTTGCGCTGTGAAATACTTTCACGTTCCGACGAGCATGTATACAATTATTTGCCTCTTCCAGACTGTTGCGATATTTACCGCGACTACTGCTAACAGCGGTAATAGTTTGTATATTTTATATTTATTTCTATCGTGTGTATATATTGTCTATTCTTTCTCGCGAATCTTAATTCATTTTTACGCGCGTGATGTTTCGCGTCGCTTTTATACACCGAAAAAATTGTATTCTTGTTTTGAGGATATCCCACTTACTTTAAGTATATTTTAGTATAAAAACTTTTATACTAAAATATACTTAAAGAGTACTTTATAAAAGAATAAAGAATATATTCTTTATTTAAGAATATATTTTTAATTTAAGAATATAATCTTTTTCGATAGTGAGATATATATATGTTTTTCTATAAAGGCTTTTTATATTCTAATCAGTATATATTCTTATCAATATTACTATTTAGAGGATTTTTCTCTTAAAATAAGAAACTCTTCTTGGCGCCTATTTTAGTATAAAATACTTTAATAAGTACTTTATAAAGTACTTTATAAGTTTCTTATTTTAAGAGGAAAATCCTCTAAATAGTAATATTGATAAGAATATATACTGATTAGAATATAAAAAGTCTCTATATAGAAAAACATATATATCTCACTATCGAAAAAGACTATATTCTTAAATTAAGAATATATTCTTAAAAAAATAAAGAATATATTCTTAATTTCAGAAGAATGTCATCTAAAATCTTTAAGAAGATTTTTTTTAAGTATAAAATCTTCCACTTACAAGAATATAATTTTTTCGGTGTAGAAGGAAATAATGTAAACGTAAAGATGCGGTATGCAGATTTTTTTCTTTTCTCACTTTCATTATTCGGCATGATACCGGTGTATAATATCGATACGATTTCTCTTTACTAAAGGTAACGACGCTTTGTTCCTCAACATAACGTTGCATCTTTGCGGCCAAATAAAGATTTTGTGCACCAAACTCGTTGACTTCGATGTTGCCAATTTGCGCGACTGCGATCGATTGAATATATTGATTAAAAGACACATCCACTTGATAAACAAGGCCAGAGAACTTTCCGATACCGTCAGTTTTGCGTTGCTGGTGCAACTGTTCATTATGAGTATTCTGTTGTGCATAATGGGTAAGTGTATCACACAGAGTTTTATCGCGTTGTGACGAATTTTCTAAAAGTAAGTTGAAATTTGTACGGTTTTGAATAAATGTTGCTTTTTTTTCAGGATTTCAGTTTATTCTAGCGGTAAAAGTAAACAACGTCATTATGATAGGAAAGAGTTTGATAGTTCAGTGTTCCTTTCTGTCGCAACTGACTCTGTACAGTTTTATCGGCGATTATCTAAAATTTCAGATGGAAGAATTGGCGCAAGCTATTTATCAAAGTTCTTGGTACGAGTTTTCCGACAAATTCAGAAGAAACATGATCTTCGTCATTATGCGACGGGAATCCCCCGTCGCATTGCGAGCCGGAAATTTCATCATGGTAAACTTGTCCACGTATGTGAACATCTTGAAGACGTCTCTCTCGTATCTGTCTGTACTTCGCGTAATGGTAGAAACGTAAAACAATAAACTACAGAGTATCTAATTTAAGAAATTTTACACGCCGTGCAACTTCGACAAAAAGTTTAACAATTGTACACAAAAAAAAAGATCAACAGTTACCAGAATATAAGATATTAATTTACTGACTGTTGCGCTGATAACGTCTTATCAGGCGCAAAAGACGAATATGCAAACGTTGTCGTATACCTATAAATTACGTGTTTTTTTACATTTTCATTTCCAACCAGTTTACATTTTCGTTCGCTGAAAACGAAACAAAACGCAATTCGACACATATGATTTTTTTTTTTTTTCCGACGAGGAAGTTTCTGTGCGGGAAGAAAGAGTTGTTTACGAGATGCGCCAATTTCAAAACCGGAACACGTGTCACGCAATTTTTATGTAACTTGCAATTTCGCGTAAAAGCTTTTTGTTACGTGTGTTTTGTCGTAATGCGTTAACAGTGTATTATCAGTCATAGCTGATAAACGGGTATGTGGCTGCGGAAAGAATGCTTCGGAATGTACGCATTATGTGTCTAAAAATTATGTCGATTTACGGTCGTATCATCGAGCTGTCGGCAGTTTAGTTTTCTTAACAGTCATTACAGTCGATTCGAGTGGCACAAAAACAACAGAACGACGTGTATGCTGTTTAAACTATTATCGCGATAATCGTGCAATTTATGAATACTACACATTTGCTCGAATAATTTTCTGCATCTCTTTGTTTTTGTACACGTAAAGATATTTTGATAAATGAATCTCGAGCTAAATGAAAAAAAAAAAAAATAAATAAATAAATAAACATGAAAACATACACGTTGCTGACATATCGCATCGTCGGTTATTGGTGTCATCAGTTACAGTATCATTACCTCAATGGCGAGTGTACGTGCAATCGAATGAACAATGTTGCATGCGCGATGATTTTTTTCAAACTGCTAACGTGGTTCCCCGTCAGCGTTCGGCCCCACTTCAAGTTTATAACGTTTGTTCGTTAATACGACGCGTCTTTGCCGTCTATTGCGATATACAATCTTTTCCGACATCGATATGTTTTATTTTTTTAACGACGTAACCCGAGTCGAAATTTTGACTCTCTGATGAACCTCTCATTCTACTATATATAGGAGTTACGATAGTAAAGTAGGTTCAATTGCAAGGATAAAATTTGCTCCTACTTTCAACCTAAAAGTGTCACAAATTTCCATTTTCTCCAAGTT